AGCACAAGCCTGGTGGTGACAAAATCCCCAGGAAGCCAAGTGACTATCAGCACTCAGCCCCACGCAGGACCTGCTCAGCCTTTCTGCAGCGGGTTTTCTAAGAAACACCGCAACAGTCGCGGAGTGTTTACGGGAAGGGTGGGACGGGCTCAGCCCGCGCCGGGGCTGCCACGATAGGGCTTTGGTGGTGCCGGGGGGGACAGTGGCCACCCCAGGGGGCTCAAGCTCCTCAGGGTAGCAGGAGGTGTGGTGGTGGGGAGGTTTGTGTTCGTGCAAGAGCAGCTTCCCGGATGGTCTGGGGGGAAATGAGAGAGAGGAGGGCAAATACAAACCACATCTCAAAATAGGCCTTAAACTTTGAAGGCGTTTGGAGCTGCGTTTCCTGCTTCGAGCAGCTTCGAGGAGATGAAAGATGCAGCTGAGTGAAATAGAAAAAAAAACAAGAAAATAAAAAAAGGAGAAAAGCAAAACAAAACAATTTAGCACTTTTTGGTGAAGGTAGAGGCACAGTGGTGACACCAGGTCACTTCACAGGGCTGGGATGTGGTTACAGGACTCCCTATTCCCTGACATAGCAGCAGCATGGCTTGGAGAGCAGGACTGGCAAAAGCTCGGGGGTGAGCTGGGGAAAGGGACCATTTGCTGGACATGAGGATATTAAAGAAAAAGCCCTGGAGCAAGGAAAGGAGGGTCCTGTCGTCTCAGATCTGGCTGGGGGACTTGCAAAGTCACCTGCAGAAAGGGAAAAGTGTCCCTTCCTTGGAGCAGACACAGCTCTGTGCACGCAGCAGGTGCTGCAGCAGCTCACACGCAAAACAGGGCTTCAAAATTCAGCACAAACTAAATTAGTTAAAAAAAAAAATCCTAATAAAAAAAACAAACAAACAAACAAACAAACCAAACCGAACCAACCAAACCAACATCCCCGAAGCCGAAGCGCTGCAGAGCTGGAAGTGGGGTTTTGACAGTTTGGAGGGCAAAGACTCGACCGCTGCCGACTGATAGCGACCGACTTCTCGTAATCCGAAGATCGGCTTCCTCTGCTCCGCGTTGGCCGGAGGTGGGACAGCCCACGGGCGGCTTCCTGCACCCACCAGGCACCCGGCACCCGGCATGCAACACCCAACAGAGCCGGAGCAACAGGATCTGCCTTACCAAAATTTAATTTGGCTGACAACATCCGGCCTTTCGTAAGGTCGCTTTGATGTTTGTTTACTCGCCGTCCCCAGCACATGCTCCGCTCCAGCCTGCGGATGAATGGGAGCGAAAAGGGCTCTGCACTTCTTTGATCTCTCCCAGGAGAGCTGCCAGGAGCAGTCAGCGCTGGAAACACCCCGTGGAGGGATGGATCCGGCTGTCTCCGTGGTGTTTTTGGCTGGCTGGTCCTGGTTAACACTGGAGGGGGACCTTTGGGATTAGTCTGGCTGGAGACAAGCCGTCAGTCCGTGGTGTAGTCACTGGTACCCCACACACTCACAGCACCCCTCATCCCACCCTGCCACGAAGGAATGTCTCCACCACATCAAGTGTTTTAGTTTTTATTTAAAACCGCATAAAAAAAATAAGATTTCTCAATTCCCCTGTACAATATCAACTATTAACAAACCCCGCCGGCTACACACGTGTTACAGGTACAGACTGGACAGTGCAGACAGCCCGGGCCAGCTCCCCCCCCTTCCCCAGCCCCAAACAACACCCGTGAGGAAAACCAAAACTCATCTGCAAACTGATATTTGCACGTGGCAAGGAAACAACAGCACCCAGAAGTATGTACACAGACAGCTGGGGAGCAGCAGCCACTCCACACCTACGCCAGACATCCGACAGAAACACGACGGGCCCGGGGGTGGACACAGGACACACACGGAGGGAAGACCCGAATGGAAAACCACGGGATCAGCAGCTGTAGAAGCAAGGCATGGGTTGGAAACCCACATGAATTATAAATAAATAAATAAGTTATCCTAGCGGCTAGGACTCTTCCTTTAAAAAAAAAAAACAAACAAAAAAAACATGAAAATAAGTTAAAAACAAAAACTGGAAACCAGAAAAAAGGCAAAATGTTATCACTATTCACAACTGTACATCAAGCTTTGCTCCTGTAGAGCTATGTACACATTTACAGCTGTTGGTTTGCATTGTTTGTGCATTCGTGAGGGCACAGAGAAGCAAAGAACCCCAGAAAATCCACATGGGATGGAGGCACAGGAGGCGAGGCATCACTCACTTGGGTCCCAAGCATCTTCTGACCCACTTTCTTTTTGAAAAGGGAAAAGGTACTATAGGCCCAGGTGAGTCTCAGAAAAGCAGCACTGTAGGAAAAGTCAAGTCTTTCCTCCAGCACAGCCCAGATGGAAACAGAAGGCACTCGAGCACGGGGACAGTGAGAAGGGACAGTCACTCAGCCACAGGCCCTGACCTCCCCAAAATCAGTTTTCCCCCATTGAAGCTTTTCTTGCAATCAGGTCTCAGATCCTCTCGCTGTCCCCAGTTCAGCAGGTCAAGATGACACTTGAGAGCCTCCAAAACCAGAACTAAAACTCCCCCCTGCCAAAAGTTACTGGCAAAAGCTCAAATGAGACAAGGTCATTCAGATCGAGTCCAGGGCAGCTGGTGTGGATGGTGGCCACCAGAGCTTGGAAGACCAGGTCTCCAGCCCAGCTCCAGGACAAGATGGGCGTGTTCCCACCTGAGCATCCCTGCTCAGTGCTACGGTCGTGATGAAAAAGTCTGGTTTTCTTTGCTTCTTAGGACCAGGAGCTGCGTGGAGCTGTTACTTGCTAGGCTCCTGGATCAAACTGTGCAGGTGGATCTCTGCTGGTTCCAGGTGAATGTCCTGCAGCCAGGAATGGTTGAAAATGTCCTCCAACGACGGCCTGTCCAAGGGGCGCATGGACAAACACCACCTGATGAGGTGTTGGCACTCTGGGGAGAGAAACCAGAAACCCCTGGTCAGTGGGAGAGGGTTCCTGTCCACCCTGTCTGCAGTGCCCAGGTCATGCTGAGGGTGCTCCAAGCTGCACCCAAGCCTCCCCATCCATCCTGCGCTTGGGAGGAGAGCGGGATGGCAGGACATGTGCCCCCTCCTCCAGCCAAGTGTGGGAGATCTGTAAGAACCCATTATCCCACCCACGCCACAAAACCAGGCACCCACCTAGAGAGACCCGCCGTCGGAAGAAGAGCTGCCCCCGGATGATGTCCTCGTCCTGCTCGAAGGGGACGTCCCCACAGACCATGTTGTAGAGCAGGACGCCCAGGGACCAGATGGTGGCTGAGTGGCCGTGGTAGCGGTGGAAGCGGATCCACTCCGGGGGGCTGTACACCCGCGTTCCTGCGCGAGGAAAGGAGCCCATCAAAGCCTCGGCCGGGCATCCCCGGGCGGCAGCGCCGGCACAGGCGTGACCCGCCGCCTTCCCGCCGGGCACGTGACTCTTGTTTACAAACTTTGGGTTGTAAAAGCCGGGCGCGGGTGCCGGAAGAGGGCAGCAGGGCCCGGGGAAGGCCCGGCCGTTACACGCGAGGGGAAAAAAAAAAACACACCCACGGGTGTGGGGGGGGAGGAAAAAAAAAAAACCCACGCCTTTCCCTCCGCCTCCCCCCCCCTCCCATCCGCAAGGGCAAAAAAAAAAATAAAAAAAAAAATAACATAAACCAAGGCAAACAAGGCGAGAGGAGCAGCCCCAGCCCTTCCGCGCCTGCAAACAAAACCGGCCGGTGCTCTCGTTTTGCAAAACGCCCCCCCCCCCCTCTGTTGTCCCCCGCCACGAGGTGTTTTTGTCGGGCCGGGGGGGTGACGGAGGCTGTCAGCAGGGCCGGGAGCCGGCTCCCGTTTCACAACATCCGCCCCGTGCCAAACGGCAACTTGGCGGCGGCTGCGGAATTAATCCCGTCCCCCCCGCCCCCAGCCGGCAAACAGGGAATCTCCAGAGCCCGTGCAATGCCCGGAACCGGGAATATCACCCGGGTGTGGGCTCACCGTCAAACTGGGTGTAGATCGTGTCCTTGAGGAAGGTGCCGGAGCCGAAGTCGATGAGCTTGAGCTCGCCGGTGGCCAGGTCCAGGAGGATGTTCTCGTCCTTGATGTCGCGGTGCAGGACGCCGCAGTTGTTGCAGTGCCGCACGGCCTCCAGCACCTGGCGGAACAGCCCCCGCGCCATCTCCTCGGGCAGGAACCCCCGCTCCGTGATGAAGTCAAAGAGATCCTGCGACGGCTCCGGACGCTCCATCACCACCACGAAGCTGTCCGGGAGCTCGAACCAGTCCAGGAGCTGGATGACGCCGTGGAAGCCGGAGCCCACCTTGTTCAGGAGCACGATCTCGAGGGGCACACGGCTGCCGCCGGGCTGTGGGGGGACCACGCTGCCATCAGAGGGGCTGGGGCTGCGCCGGAGGGCCGGTACCGCTGCCCCCCGCCCAGGGCAAACTCCGGCGCCCCCCTGCTCAGCCCCGCCGCTGTTGGGCATCCCCCCGCCCAGGAGATGGTTCGGTGTCCCCCCGCCCGCTCCCACCGGTGCCGGGTATTCCCCGGGATGCTCCGCGTCCCCCGGTGACCCCACGCCCGCTCCCCCCGCGCTGTCCCGGTTTCCCCCCTCCCGCCCCTCGGCTCATCCCCTCCGTCACGCCCCGGGTCCCCCCGCCGGCCCCGGTCACTCACCAGCTCTCCCCACTGCGAGATGCGGTCCCGGGCCACGCGTTTGATCGCCACCTGCGAGCCAAGGGGGAGCGGCGGGATGAGCTCGGCGCCCGCCCCGCCGAGCCCCCTCCTCCTCCTCCTCCTTCTCCTCCTCCCGCCGCCCTCCCCGCCACTTACCGGGGCGCCGTCCGAGAGGCGGATCCCGGAGTAGACGCTGCCGAAGCCGCCGCTCCCCAGCAAAGGGCCCACCCGGTACAGCTGCTCCAGCGGCTCCTTCTCCTTCCCTGTGGACGAGACCCGCCCGTCAGCGCTCCGCCCGCTCTCCCCGGCGGTCCCCGAGCCCTCACACGGGGTAATCCCTGCCCTGACCTGGCTGGAGTTTGGCGGGGTGCAGCTCCGCGCCGGTGCCGGAGCGGAGATGCGCCAGCGAGGTGATTTTGGAGAGCAGCATCCCGGTGACGGGGGCGGCCGGTGGCGGCACCTGCGAGTCCCGGTGGGCGGGTGGTGGTGGAGGAGGCGGCGGGACCCGGGGGGGGGGATCCAGGGAGGGATCCAGGGAGGGATCCGGGCGGGAGCGGCCGCTCCGCGCGAGGCCGGGCCGCGTGTGGCGCGCGGCCCCCGCCGGCCCCGCGAGCCGCAGGGGCCGGGGGCGGGGCCGGGGCGCCCGGGAGGCGGGGCCGAGCCGCGCCGCCCCGCCCCTTCGGACCGCCTCAGCCAATAGGGAGCGAGCCCCGGCGGCGGGGGCGCCGCGCAGGTCCCTGTGCCCGCCCGTCCCGCCCGTCCCGGGGCCGCCGCGGCACCGCCGGGACACGCGGGAGTCGCGGGGCTCGCCCGCCGAAACTCGCGGGTTCTTTGGCTGCTTCTTCGCTTGCTTATTTTTTTTCCGCGAACCCTACAGCTTCCCCGAGTGATCCACATCCCCCCGTCCCACCCCACCCTCTCGTTATTTCCCTGTGTCTGAACTTTTCCCCTTTCCAGTAACAGTGGCCATGTGGCCATTCCAGCTGCGGACTCTTGACTAACATCCCTGGGGTTTATTTTTCCCCCCCCTTTTTTTTTTCTTTTTTCCGCAGAAGTCGCTGGCTGAGATGCCTCCCCGAGTTCCAGAGATAAGATAAATAATTTACTGGATGGAGATCTCTGATTACTCACTCTATTAGCATTTAGAGCAAAGAGCTCCAGCCATCGGGAGCTGAATTATTCCAGACGAAGCCCATCTGGGCTCCTGCTCCCGAGCAAGACCAAGGAGTTCCCAGCATCCCACACATACTTGTGGGATGATTTGCTCGAAATCGAATGGGGTTTACTGGAAATGCTGGTGAGGTCCCGGCCACTGTAGTATTTTGAAAAAGGGGATAAAACACAACCGACATGCACACCCTAAACTGGGGTGCAGAGCTGTGGCTCAGCCCTCACTCCAGCCAGGAAGGACTCACCACCACTACTGCCTCTTTTAGATTTACCCAGAACATAGCACATCCTCTTTTAGGGGCTGAGACAGCTAAAAACTGAAAAACCCACCTTGGGTTTTACACAGAAAGTGACATTTTATTTGGGGAAAAGTGGAGAATCTGACACAGCAGCTCCATCCCTTTTTTTAAAAAAAATGCTTTTATTTTTTTAAATAGTTTTTTCGTGTATTGTTATTTGGGGTGATGCAAGCTGAGGGTGGAGGAGAGGGGGCAGGCAGTGCCTTTCTCCTGCCTTATTCCCACCCGACACCTGGGCATATTTGGGACAACTGGTTCTGCCTGTCGGTGCTCAGCCCGTGGGATGAGGTGACTTAGCATCTGGCCCCAAACTCATTATCAAATTCTTTGCTAGGATGATGAAAGGCACCGAAGGGGCTGCCCTGGAAACCTGTTGACAAACAGAGCAGCCGGGCTTTCCCGGGGGCTGCCTGTCCCTGACTCCTCGGGAGGCTCAGCCTTGTCCTCGTTCTGCCCAAACCTGCTCATTAGCATAGCAGGGAGCAGCGTGTCTTGCAGCCGGGATGATCTGGGGCCAAAGTCATCCTCGTGTATAAACCTGCCCAACTGCTCGTTTCCCCAGCGGGCTGAGTCAGTGTCCGACTCTTCCTGCCGGCACGGAGGGCTTGTGTCCCCTCTGGATTGGGAAAAACCCCGTCTCGGAGGTGATGGGAAGATATTGCTCCATGCCCTGGCCGTGTGGAGCAGGGAGGAGGCCACACTTCCTGGCCCTATCCTTCTCTTTCAAGAATAACCCACCCAGATGCATCCCTGTTCCTCAAATGACCCCAATCCAGGGCTAGGAATCACCTTTTCCCCCAAGCCCATCCCATGCACTCACCTTTCCCCTGCCAGCCCTCATGAGGCCATTGGGATGTGTCAGACATTCAAGCAAACATGAAACAAACCCCATCCTGCTTGCTACCCCACTCAGCCCTCTTCCCTAAGGATCTCCTCTTTTCCCAACCCTCTTCCTCTGGGATGAGAGATGGCAGGTGCAGGAGAGCAGCCCACATCCACAAGCACAGCTTGCCCTAGCATGGACACAGGGATGTCCTGCAGGTCCTGCCCTGGCCAGGGCTGCCTCTTTCCACCCCTGGGGCAAACCCAGCTCTTGACATGAGCCCCCGGGGAGCAGTTTGAGGCCCAGAGGGCTTGCAAGGAGGACAAACCCAACCGGGACTGTGCTTGGAGGCAAACAGGACCCTGGGGTGGCACATGGAGCCAGTGGCGGGTCTGGGGGAGAGGAGCTCCCAGCAGACATCAAAAGATCAGTTCTGAGCCCTGCAAACAATCCCGGCAGCTTTCAGGCTCTTCAGCGGCATTCCAGTCTAACCGGGGCTGCCTTGCATGATAATCAGGCTTAATTACTGCTTTATCGCTTGATTGCTGTGCTGGGCCCTTGAAGCTGCAGTGTTGCTTTCGCAGTTTACTTTTTGTATTTCCTCCCCCTCGCCTTCCCCGCCAGCACAATTAGCAAATAGGTGAAGATGGGGAGGGCCAGGGCAATACCCAGCGGGGAGAGAGGGGTGATTTGCCGCCCTGGAGCCCCCGGGGTGGAGGGTTTAAAATTCAGGTTTCCACTGCTGTCCTGAAACAAAACAGCGAGGTCAACGCCAAGCCGGGAGCACAACCCCGTGTCAGCCCCACGAGCATCCCCCGGCGGAGGGGACCCGGCCGGAGGAGGGAGGGAGGATGCGGGGCCATTAACGCCGTGACACAGGAGGGCTGTGGTTTCCACCGCGAGCTTTGAGTCACTGCGTGACCTTGGCTGAGTCCGCCCGTGGCTCCCTGGGCTCGGCCTCGGTGGCCCGCGGAACCGGCTGGCCCAGGGCGTGGGGCGAAGCAGGGAAAAGCCGGGAAAGCCTGAAACCGTCCTCACCTCTCCCTGATGCTCAGGCAAGCACCCGGCCCGCTCCACCTCCCCCTGCTTCCTGCCAGAGCCTGGAAAAAGGGATTTGAGGCATCCCAGCAATGCCCCACTCTCCCGTGAAGAGAGGGCTAAGCCCTTTGCCCACCCAGGGCATGTCCTAGCCTGGCAGTGAGAACCTGGAGGAGGGAGGGGTGAGGACAGTCGGGAAGCAAGGATGCTCCCACCTACACACAGTGAGCAATCCCTGGCTGCCCCGGCCAGGAGGTGGGAGCTGTCCTCAGCCAGGCAGTGGGTGCCGTGGCTGGGACACCTCCAATGTGCCATCACCCTCTCAAAGTCACCTCTACGACCACAAAATGTGGCCCCTGGGATCTCACCAGTGACTTTGGAAATGCAAGAAAATGTGTGTGTGTTCCCTGGCATTCTGGAGGGGTAGGTGATGGGCATCCCTGCTGAGGGTAGGTGATGGGCATCCCAGCATGAGGCTGACCCTGGAGTGCATGGAAGCTCCAAGGGGGACTTAGGACGTGCTAGGCTCTCCCTGCAGAGACAGGAGGGCTGGGATCTTGTGCATTGGGGTCATGGATGCTGGGAGGCAGTGCAGCCACAGGGTGCTGGCTGGGTGCTGCTTCCTCTCCCCTCCTCATCCTTGGGGTCCCTCCAGGCCCAGCTGTGACCCCAACACTGCGGTGACAGCTTGGGAACCACACGCCCCATCCTGGGGCTGGAATCACCCGAGGACAGGGAGAAGAAAGGTCCTGGCTGGAGTGCTGGAGCACCCCAAAACCTCTCCACACCATCACCCAGTCCTGGCCCTTTGGGTGCCAATTCCCACCAGCTTGGGAGGGCGATGGGACCTGCGAGTGGGGCAGGAGATGCAGGGACCCATCCTGCTCCCCGGGAGGAGCCGCCGCGGGGATTTCTTCTTATTAATTGATTTTTTTTTTTTGTATGGTGGCTTTTTCGCGGGCTTTTCAGGGCGAGGTGTTCGGGGAGGCGGCAGCATGGCTAATCTGCTTTGTGAATGGAGCCTCACGGGGGGCGGCGGAGGGGGCCGGGGAGGTGGAAGGAGCCACATATTTGGGATTCCATCATCTGGGTGGGCTCCTTCTCCCCAGACTCTCAGGATGTGGGAAATGGAAGATGAAAGGAGCTGCATTTCCAGCCTCTCGGGTTACAATGTCTAAAGCAGAAAAGGGTGGTTGGGGAAAAGAAAAAAAAAAAAAAAGAAGGGGAGGGGGGAATGGGATGCTACAGGGAAACCTGGGTTGGGAAATGGCCCGGGTAGGTTGGGGCAGGGAAGGGGGCGGCAGGGGCCGAGCCGCTCGTGTTTCACATCACGTCAGGGCTGAGGAATTTCCTCTGCTCTGGGGGTGCCTCGCAGAGAAAAAGGGGGAGGCTTTAAGGTTAGCTGGGGATGAATAATAGCCAAGAGAGGGATTAGAAGTGTTACCCAGGGGCTGCTGTTTACAAGCAAACCCTCTTATGGAGCAAGAGGGGGAAGCGGGATGCTTTGGGGTGACAGAGGGGACCCCGGGACGTGTGTCACCACATCCCTTCCCTGGAGAGCACAGCGGGGAGATCACCCCCAGCCCCTGAGCTCCTTCCTCCCTGACATCAGCAAGGTCCCAGCAGCTGGTCCCCTGCACACGTGGCGTGTCCTGGGGTGCCCGGCCTGGCTTCCCTGCTGTGTCCTCCCGTGGCCCCAGGAGGTTTCCCATCCTGTCCCCGTGAGTTGCAGACACCCAGATCATCCCTGTGCACAGGCAGGGGATGTTCACCTGTCCCAGAGGGCTTGTGTCACCCACTGGGTGCTCCAGAGGAGGGCAGGGAGAAGGGGCACGAGGAGTGGTAAGGGGGCATGGAGACACAGGGCTCTGTGCAGGGGCACCATCTGGGTGCACGAGGCTTGTGCCCTGCTGGGTGATGGGAGCAGCCCCCAGACATGGGCATCACCTCCATTGTCCTGCCACCTCCTGCGGTGGGGCCCAGGTTTTGTCCCAAAACCACTTCATTTCTGTTTCCCCTTTACTGCTGCTTTGGGTGAAGCAAGGTCAAGGTGGGGAGGAGCGAAGGGAAACACATTTCTCCCGTGTTATTCCATGTTATCCTCCATCTCTGTTGGGACAGCCGGGAAGGGACTGCTGCAGGGTGGAAGTGCAGTCCCCAGGCTGGGCCCAGGGAAGCTGCAGGATCCAACCTGGCTGCCCACCCTGGGATGATGGCAGAAACACTGGCACGTGGTCTGTGGGCAACTGGGCTCCTCTTGCAGGGGGGTGTGCTAGGGACAAGCTGTTCTTCCTGATTTAGCCCAGGAAACTGAGGCATAGGGGGGCCACAGAGCCCCTGTGGAGCTGGAGGGGGAAAATGGGTTTATTCCACCCCAAAATGGGGATTAAAGGACAAAAAATGGTCTTTGAGCCAGGGCAGATGTGGCTGGAATCAGCCCGAGTGCTGTTTAGAGGAGGCTGAGCGGGTGCACCTGCACTGTTGGCTACTCTGGGGGAGACCCCAGGCCCAGGGTAGACCCCTGACCATGCCTGGGGACTTGGAATCTGCCCTGATGACCAGTACCATGGGCTGGTACCACCTGAGGGACACAAATCTATGCCTGAGGCTCAGGCTGAATCCAGATCCCCACCTGCCCTGGCTTAACAGGTTTCTTCCTGCAGAGCGTTTGCACAAGAAAAACACCTTTTAAAGGTTATAAAAAGGGTTTTGGTGGCTGACTGGGGACAAGAAGGTGCTCGGCTCTACTATTTCCTCTTCGCCCTGCAAAACCCTGCCTATTCCCAGGTACATTCCTGGCATTGCTCCGTCCTGGAGTGCAGGAGGTGCTGACCCCCTGAGCATGGGAAAAATGCCTGTCTGCGTGCGGGAAAGGAGGTGCAAATAGTGCGGGGTGAGGAGGTCAGCCGGGAAATCCCTTTCATCTTTTCCCGGGGCTTTGCCGACCCGCGGCCGGGAGCGCGTGGGGCGAGCGGGAAAGGGTTTTGTCTGCGGCTGGAAAAGAGGAGGCTCCCGGGAGGCTCCCGCGGGGATGGATGCTGTTTCCAAGCTGGAGGAGGCTGAATTGCCACGTGGGGTGGACGGTGCGGAGATGTCACAGGACAGGTCACAGTGGTGAGCCCCGGGATGGGCGATGGGCAATTAGGTTTGTCCTTTGTCCCCTTGTGCAGCTCAGCGAGTTGCTGGGACCCCCCACACCTGAGGGTGGTGGGGCAGAGGGGCACCCCCACACCCCACAGTGTCCATGGCACACAGGTGTCGGTTCTTAGTGCTG